GAACTCCCATGTAGTTGACCGCGGTTCGAGTCCCGGACCCGGTGGCTTAAACTCACACTGGGCGCGTGTGCATGCGTGCCCAAGATCCTGAGAGGAGAATGGAGGAGAAGGAATTGTGGCATGGCCATGCCCCCTGGGGGGTGATTTCTCACTTCCTGTCTCTCTGTCTTTCTCTTTCTGGCGAGTGCATGCACCCTATAGCAAAAACCTCTCCAAAAAAAAAGAAAAAATTGAATGGCCCTGAGGAAGCCAGAGGTGCTCTGGTGGTTAAGGCAATGGGCCCTCACACGACTAGCGTGGTTCGAGGCTCAAACTTGGTGACTTGAAAATCGCACCAGGTGTGTGTGCATGCATGCCAAAAGTTCTAGGTGGAGAATGGAGGAGGAGGGATTGTGGCGTAGCCACTCCACACCTGATTTCTCACTTCTCCTCTCTCTGTCTCTTTCTAGTGAGTGCACGTGCCCTAAAACAAACAAACAGAAGAGTGCCCTGAGAGGCATGAGCCCAATGTGCTTCTCGAAGCAGTGTTTGGTTCCCAGATGTCACGTACTACGGTGAGTGTGGTAGAGAAAGTTGGGAGAAAGTGTTTCCAGTGCTCCAATTTTCTCCCAACGTTTTTACTACAGGGCATGGATGCTCACTGGAGACTCAGAGAGAGGCAGTGAGAGGGAACGTGAGAACTCACTCCCCAGAGCGAATGGCCACGCCATATCCATGCGGGAGCCCAGCACCTTAACCACCACACCACCTGCAGGCCTCCTCAGGGCCATTATTATTTTTTAAATTATTTTGTTTAACTGTATTCTCCTCTATTCTTTTTTTAATTTAACTTTAGTCTCCTCTATTCTCCTCCTAGGGTTTGGGGCATGCACATACACACATGCCCTTGGAGTGTTTCAAGTTGGCAGGTCCAGGATTCAAACCATGGTCCGCCATGTGGGAGTTCAGTGCCTTAAACACCTCGGTACCTGCTGACCTCCATGCCCCCATTTTTAAGATTGGTCAGATCTTATTCTATTATATTTCTGAAATAGAATGCAGTGAGGTCAAGAGGGGAAGGTATAGATTTGAAGTCAGTGAAATGATAAATCTCCACGCCCTGGAATGTGGCTGCCACAGCCCACAGACGCAGTCTTTAAGGGGCCCCTTCATTCTGGCCAGCCTGAGTTTCCTAAGGCCTCTTCGGGACAGCTGCAGGCAGTACACGAGGCCGTATGCCTGGCACACTCATTGCTCCGTAAATGGTCATTCTCGTCACCTCCTTCACACTGCTTTGGCCTCTTCTCACTTAGTCCCCATGTGTGAGAGACGTACGAAATACCGTGGGCGTCGAAGTGGAGAAGCAGACCTCGTGTAGTTCAAAATCCCTTCAGTGAGGAAGTTCTCTTATGTTCAAAAAGCTCTTCTCTTTCTTCCTTCCCCCTTCTTAAATTTTAAAAATATTTTAGGTCTTTGCCATAGGGTTCATGTGCTTGCTGGAGAGAGACTGAGAGAGAAAGTGAGAAATCACTCCCCAAGGGGGTGGCCACGCCGCAGTCCCTTCTCCTTCATTTTCTTCTTGGGATTCTGGGCATGCACACACACACATGCCCAGTGTGACTTTCAA